TTCTTTGTCTGTCTTCCTGTCAACAAACGCGGGCTGCGATGGTGCAGTGGTTAAGTTGCCTAAGTCTCTTACACCACTAACATCCAGATGAACGGCCTGCGTTCGTTCGAATCCCTCTAGTTCCTCAAGGAACCAAAATTAATAAAAAAAAAACTTAGGCCTAGTAAAACCCCTGCCCGCCAAAAATATAGGTAGGGGTTTTCGTAGCACCAGTGGGTCCCGGGAGGGAGGACCCTTGGTGTGAGCTTTTTTATTTCCTCATGTAGTTGAGGAGTGAGGTTATTGTTATTTCCTTTTTTGGAAACCATGATATACATCCAATGGGAACCTGGTAAATGTCCTCTGTGTCTCGCTCGGCATAACTGCATTCACCCCCATTCCTTTATCCCTTGCGTGGTGTTTCTTATTTTATGTACAGTATCTTTTTATGTGTCTTTATTCTACGATTCGCGACTGCTTACTGGAGCTGAATTTTGCTTGATCAGGACGATGACAGCGCGACTATTGTGTTGCAAAGTCTCAAACGAGTCATGTTCAGCCTCTTGGGGTGCTGATTCGGTGACACCAGTGGCTGTGTAACAGGCAGGGCAAGATCAGCGGTGTAACGTGTCCACAGGTGAATCGACAGGGTCCAAATTAGGTAGCATGCTTGCACCCCTGCCTCAGCTCTTAGCCCTACTCCTCGATCGAAGGGCTTAGTGAGTGTTATGGCGACTCAGCAATCACGTGTTTATATAGCCTAATTCACCACGTCCAACAGTTCTCTGTACAAATAAGACGTCTTTCAAATCTTTCAAATGAACAACGGATTCAACAAACCTTCATTATTCCCCGATTAGGATTGGATTTGGAGAGGATCCCAATCTGATCATCATCTTTATGTCTTGTTAAGAGGCAGGGCAAGACAGTGAGTGGACTCGATGCTGACTGAAAACCAGTCACGCTGACCATTGCCTACAGCTTGGAGTACATATATCTCTTTTTCTCCTTGTCCATGTCTACATCAGTCATGGCAAAAACGGGAAATCCCTTTTTTGTTGGTCTATTAGCATTGCTTTTTGGCTTAATTTCCATTTACCTGCAACCGTCCCGTGACTTCCTACTTCAGAAAATTGCCGAGTATGGCATTCACGTGCCCGCAATACTGGTCTCTCCACCAACCGTCGTTGACTCTGCCGGAGATATCAAGTATATTGGCAGCTCTTCTTCCTCTGGCGTCGAGCATTTCCAGAATATCTTCTATGCAGAAGATACGTCGGGCAAGCGCCGCTTCGCACCGCCTGTTCCGGTCAAGCCCGCAAGGGGATCTGTCATTGACGCTACACAGCCCGGCGCCTGGTGTCCACAGGGGACTGGAGATGTGTTGCCGTTCACAAGTCGTGTTGTGAACATAAGTGAAAATTGCCTGAGCTTGAGGATAGCTCGGGCGCGGGGTACTAAGCAGGATGCCAAGTTACCGGTGGTGGTATGGATGCATGGGGGTAAGACACCGTTCCCTGTCGCATAGTAGCTTGTCCGCACGTAACCGCTGCTTCCAGTCACCACAGGATGCTAATAGGTCCATCTGAACTTAGGGGGTCATGCCTTAGGCTCAGGCTCGGATATCCTCTACGAGCCGGATGGCCTGGTGAAGCAAGCTGCGGCAGATGGTCAGCCACTGATTTACGTTGCCATCAATTATCGCCTTGGCTGTAAGTGGATCAGAGGATTTGCCGTTCGATAATGAAACATCTCCACTTACGTACGTAGTCTTTGGTTTCGCAACAAGTAAAGCAATGGTGGTGGCTAAACAGACGAATGCTGGTCTTCGTGATTAGCGAGCGGCGTTCGAGTGTATGCTTCGGAACTCATGATTCCCGCTACCTTGCAATGAATGCTTGCTAATCGTGTGCATCGTAGGGATTCGCGACAATATTGAAGCTTTTGGTGGCGATCCGCATAAAGGTAAAGCACTCCACCCAAGCATACCACTGTGCTGCTCAGAGCCGCTGACTGCAATCTCGATGAAAGTGACCGCCATTGGACAAAGTGTGGGAGCGAGCGACATCAGCCTGCAGCTGATATCGTTTGGCGGGAAGCAAGGTGTTCCATTCCAACAAGCAATGTGAGCAACTTCATCGGCTGATAGGTTTATTCTGTGCTAACTTCTAGAAACCCTAGAATGATGTCGGGCGGTCCAGGCTTGAACTTCAACACAGATTCAGATTTGGTTGCAAACAACACAGCAGCCATCGCAAGACAAGTAGGATGTGTCGAAGACGGCGAATACGATCAGTCCGCAAAGACTTTGGAATGTTTACGGGAGGCTCCAGTTGACATTTTGACGAATCTCTCCGTCACAGCTTCTCGTTCGGCCCGTCCACCTTTTGGAGAGGGGTTCTTCTTCCCGACTTATGACGGCGATTTTATCCCCGGCCGGCCTTCCCAGCTCATGCGTGCTGGTAAGTTTGCCAAAGGAATTCCAGTGATCGCTTCCTGGGTGACGAACGATGGCGCCTGGTATGCACCTCCGCCGACGTCCACTGACGAAGAAGTCTTGGGTACTTTCGGAACCTGGCTGTTTGGTCTCTCCGATTCTACCAAGGCGAAGCTCCTAGAACTATACCCGCTCGAGGATTTCGAGCACATGGTACGGCCGGATTACGACGGGCCTCTCTCTGCACAATACTACCGCTGCGCAGATCAACAGAGACATTTGGTTCACGTGCCCGGTGCTCGACTTTGCATGGCAGTACGTTAAGAATGGCGGGGCGGAGCCATCACAGATGCGATTGTATGAGCATAATGCAATGCCAGTCTTCCAGAAGATGGGCGTGCCAATGTGGCGTGTTGCGCATCTGAGCGACATCCCGTACGTGTTGAATATTCCGCACCTAGAGGGCGGCGCGGACAATTCAGCCGCACAGCTTGAACTGGGCAAGACTATCAGTCGAAGCATTGCAAAGTTTGCCAGCAGTGGTAGTCCTGAGGGAGGTGGCAGTGGTGTTGAGATGTGGCCTGCAGCCTTCTACGACGTTACGAGGCAGGAGTTGAAGAAGGACTTCCGAAGCAAACTTTCGCTTCAGCTGTTTGGCGGCCCCTATGGAACAAGGCCTGTGACTATTAGCAGAGACATGGATGAGACTGTCACGACGGCGGCTGAGCAGGCCATACAGTGGGAGAAGCTATTTAGCAGGTGCGAATTTATCAACAGCGAGAAGATGAGGGAGGAAGCTGGGGTGTAGAGGCTGTCGGCGTTATTCTTGGACATGGTGGACTCCCTATCTGCCGCAAAAGCAGAGAGTTCCTATGAACCTGCGCTGCAAGAACAAAGGACATGAGGATTTGCATATGTTCTAATTTTACTCTGAAGCCTATTGACCTTGGCAACACTCGTTTTATGCCAACCAGTCAGAAATATATAAACACACAAACAAGGTCGTCTATAGCTAAGCTGCCGAACAAGCTTCCTACAGATTGAGCATATATAAACGTCTTTAATAGCATTATCGTT